TCTGACTTCAACACTAGGATATACTCTTTACCCTGGAAAATAATATGAATAAGTAAGTGAAATATTCAANAGACAAACTAGTCAACAAAACAAAGACAGGCTAAACCAATAAAGTTCTGGATTTTCTCTATTTTTTATATTTCCGTGAGCTTTTGATTTCCCTTCTTCTAATCACCCCGAATCTCCTCTTTCCATGTCCTGTTTGATAATCGATAAGAATACAACAGCGGTGTGCGTGTGTGACGTTACATATGGCATCAATTACATACAGTATTACAAAAAATCTAGTGAAGTTCAGCAAATGAATGTCACTTTTGTGGGGAGGTTGTCAAACACGATGCTGTTTTCATCTGGAAACAAGAAAAGGCATTCACAATATCTTATGTTGAGCAATTAAGATACGGAACCCAAACTGGTAAAGTGGAGTATGATTGAATGGATTGGAAAACGCAATAGTAGTAGGTATACATAAAGTAGCACCTAAGGGCCAACAGAGGAATGCAACAATTACAGACAAGTTAATGAAATGCAGCATGAAGTGAGAACAAAAAGGAAAGATGTGCTAATTCTTTGGAATGTTCTTGCCCACAATCTTGGCTGGAGTTATCCGGAGAAGATTTCCAGGCTTACCAGGGAGAGCACCTTTGATCATTACCACGTTAAGATCTTTATCGATTTTGACAATCTTAAGCTTTCTTATATTCCTATTGGTTCCTCCCATCCTTCCGGGCATCTTCTTTCCCTTGTACACACGACCGGGTGTGGTTCCAGCACCAATTGATCCCAGTTGTCTATGACTCTTCGAACCATGGGTCATTGGACCCCTTCTAAAGTTATGACGCTTGATTCCACCTGTCAAATGTTTTAATGTTCATATGAGCAAGAGGGAATTCAAGCTCAATACAGAAAAGTGGTAAAAAAAAGAAGCTTCTTAACCCCTATCAACAGAGATCATTTAATTGCATGATTTTTCCGGTATGAAACGTCTAGTATCTATCATTCAGCAACGTCAATTTGGAGCAATCGTTACTGAAAATTTTGCACACGAAATAAATTGGCAAGAATTTGAATCGGAAATTTCATTCGAAGGCCCTAAATATTTGAAAAAGGCAGGGATGAAAGAAGTTGAAGAGAGATGACCTTGGAAACCCTTGCCAATGGTGGTGCCAGAGACATCAACAAGATCACCCTCCTTGAAGAGCTCATCGAAAACGAGGCGTTGGTTAAGCTCGAATTGATCAACGGTTTGAAGACGGAACTCCTGAAGATGACGCATGGGAATGGCACCAACCTTCTCGAGATGACCCATTTCGGGTTTGGTCAATTTGCGGTCTCGGACCCTTCGGTAACCAACCTGGACGGAGTCGTAGCCATCGGTGGCCTCAGTTTTGATCTGTGTAACGATGTTCCCTTCTTTGAAGCCAACGACAGTGACAGGAACAACCTCGCCGTCGGGTTGGAAGAAGCTCATCATACCCAATTTGGTGGCCATGACTCCAATACCTGCTTCCATACTCATCACAACCACACCTCTCACTTTTGCTCTTCTACTCACTTGCAGAGGCTGAGCCGTCAAAGAATACGGAAGCCGAGAAATTGAAAGGGAGGAATGAGAAGAACCATATATTGGCGACGGAATGGACAACATTGACATGCTTGCTCTGCTTCCTTATCCCAGCGAGCGTCACAGACTCGTAACAGTTAGAGAGAAGCACACTGGAATTAATCTTAAACTCTTATCCTTTCTCTCTCTCTCTCCGCTGAGGAATGGAAAGACCAGTTCCTTTTAGTAGTCAAGCCCGGCCCATGTTAAATATTTATCCAAAAACATGTCCGAAATGCAATATTGTAGTCATTAGTAATTAAAATTGTGTACAGATTTAAATTTTATTCCGAAATAACAATATTTTATTTGTCAAATAAATAAATAATCAAGATGGATTGAATTCAATACGCCTTTTTTTTCATTTATTGGTTAATTCATTTAACATTTTTCTAAGTATGTTGTATAAATTCATTCTCTAAGAGTAATAAATAAATTATAAATGCTAAATTAACTGACTTTGAACAAAATTCTTTTATTTCGGGTAATTATAAAAATGTTCTTCACTTTAGACCTTCATTTGTATAATTGCGTCGAATTTAATATTTGTCCTCCACAAAAAAAAATCTAGAGATAATATATTGCATTTTATATGTTACAATTTCATAAATAAATAATTTCAGAAAAGACAATTTAGATAAACTCAAGTCAATTCCACTGAAATCGACCGGCGCCTAAAAGATCAGTTTGGTATGAGTAAACTTGTTATCCATCATTATGTTATTTAAATCAGTTTGGTAAGAGTAAAGTTCTCCCATTTTTCTTATCAACTCTTATTATGACTTCTACATAAAATATTGCAATTTTGTTTGTCCCTTGTATATGCTACTATGTAAGACAATAACAATAATGATTTTTAAGTTAGAAAAAAATAAACCTGTTTATTAAAGCAAGTCAAGAATTTTTGGAGTAGGACAAAAATGTCTCCTCTGTCTGTACGCTCCAACTCATTGGTACAATAAACAATTGGTGTGCTTCTAATAGTATAAAGGCAGAAGACCAGCAAAACTGAAACCATTCCTATTTCGTGTTCTGCCCTCAGCTGGGACTGTGCCAAGCCTTGCCCTAAAAGTTTTAGAATGAATAGATAGATGAGTAAATTATCTCACCACTATCGTGCCACTTGAAAAAAAAAGTGTAAGGAACTATGTTCTGCAACCTTTTAGTCCTCTGCAAATAGAAAACCTAAAAGATGGCTGGTTGGTGGCTGCTAATATGACAAATTAAATTGTTCAGCACTGCAAATTAAAGTTCAGCAGTCATGATGTATTCACCAGAACCAAATCCCTACAACTTCCACAAACCGTTGATTCATCCTCAGATATCTGCAGGGTCGTTGATCTCCTGTAAAGCAGCCAAATGTGCTTGTCAGGACAACATCATAATATCCAATTATACTAATAATTATGGATTGAAATCTGGAGAATCATGCATAATCATCTTGCTGTGTCATGATGCCAAAAGGCCTCAGTCTCCGTTAAATATGACCTGCCTCAATACTGCTTAGGCTTGCAGTCAGTCAGGCTTATCCAACCAATGATGACAAAAGGTTAAAAAACAACGACAAGAATCCCCATTATACCAGTTCTAACAAAGCAAACTCTTCCAACAAACATCCCACCTACAAACCCTCAAACACCAACAGAACAGGGAAAATAAAACCCATGATATGGTGAAATTTTGTAATAAGAGACTCCCAAAAAGCTCATACCGAAGTTAGTATCATACCTTATTTTCAATCGTCACCCCATCTGGAATTTCCAATTTCAAGTCAGGTTTTGCAGAAATAGTCACTTGCCCCTGAAAATCAGTGCTAATAATCAGATAAATGCAAGAAAATCATAACAAATAAGTTTCTCATATATAGCAGCTCAGACAACAAATTATATGAATCAAAGTTCACTGATTTTGAATGCTTACAATAAGTTATAATGACATTTGTATTATACTCTCAGTTCACCTAATTCCAATCTTCCATTCCATATCAAAAGCAAAAAATTTACCCAAGTTTATAATAAGCAGAAACCTTAGAGTCTAACAAGAAAATTTGTAAAACAGAAAAGAAGAGCACTACAATTTTTTTGGAAGGTACTGTCCGCTGTCAACTGATATCCGAGATTTATCAGTTTCAAATTAAAAATAAAAACTGATTTATCTCTTTTACGAATTACCCAGAAATTTTCCATAGTTGATTTGGGATAAATTTGAGTGTCAGAAATATAAAACCAATTGTGGCCTTCACCCAAAAGTTTATAGGCATTAACGTTGCATCAGAGCCTCTACAGTGTAACGTTCACGAGCCTTCATTTTCTAAAATATAGTTGATTTTCAGAAAGAGTGAGTTATTGTCCAGGGCTCTGTCTCTTCAAGTCCATTGGATTCTGGCATGAGAGGATGTGTTGCAGACGTAAAACAAATATTAGCATATATTTCATAGCTCAATCTTTCAACAGAAAGATGGTTCTTGACCATGAGACCAGAATTATCTTAAGATTTTTCTACTTTACTTGCACATTATAATATAGCTTCTACTCTATTCTGAAAAATACTAAATTATAATTTTTTATTATCAGATCCCCACTCTTCCAGCCCCCCTTGCACAACATTTTCCAAAAAAAGTTGGATACGCTTTGGAGAGGCTATGTGGCTGCCTCAACTCTTATGAGAACAGCTTCATTATTCAAATCTTTACACCACTATATCTGGGTTCTGCAAGTGCATGTCTTATTTCAGTCCAGGTCTCTCAACCCCGTTTTACTCGGTGAGTAGGACGAGCTCGGGGCTTTACTGGGCTGCAGTTTTAGAGTCTTTAGACATATCCAGTAATCCATGTTCAAGTGATTTTAGAGCTTCACGTAAATCTTCAGTAGTTTTGAAAATTTGCTATAAATTGGGTAAGATTAAAATCAATTGGAATATAAAGGCTCCTATAACTTACGACAAAAATCACAGATATTCAGAAAGGACAAAAGAGCAAGTATTCAACGTGACGCAGATGAACAGGGAAAGGAACGTTAATTGTACCTTCAAAGTAATATTAGATCCAAACCACACATCACCTCTCACCCTCAAACTATCCAGCTCAATGATGCTTGGAATGGATTTGAAACGACTTTGGAAGTCATTAATCTGAGAATAAAACACATATATAAGGTAATGACTGTGCAAAGATAAGACAAGAAAAAACTAGATTTCACCTTTTCAAATTCAGGTCCCAAGTCTATGACAGGATTTAAATGATTAGTTCTAGCTGGATTGCGAGTTAAAACACCTTCTCTACAAGTGTATAGATCCGACTGCAAGAATACATAATTGGTGAAAGGGAGTCAGTCATGCATGAAAACACAGTATGTTTTCAGTAACATTATTTGCGTATATACAATGAAGTCAGTGTCACCTGGAGAAGTAATAGATCTGATGTTACATCCAATGGAAAAAACCGAGATTCGGGCACGGATACACCAATTACATTGCCAAAGAACTGATGAAGAAAATACATTAAAAACAGCAATCAGTAACTTCATAGTTAGCAGAACTGATTGTCTCTTTATAACAGTCATTAGTTTATTCTCGCTTTCCCTCTCTCATTTTAAGAAGACAGGCCAGTGTCACACAACTTAATATTTAATTTAATCTAATTAAAGTATTTATAACACTAGTAGTGCTTAATGTTTTAGCAATACAAATGACCTTTAATACATGTAGTCACAATATCACATGAAAATCCTATTAACAAGCAAATGAACTTGCATGGCTGAACATTTAGAAGACATAATATGAACATGCATCCAAGATTGATAATGTGGAGCAGGGTTCAAAAGCTGAAGTGAGATAATTTAAGTCAATTGGAATTATAAAAAAACAGAGAAAGACAAGATAGGTGTAAGCTGAGAAAATTACATCCAGAAAAGCCACTTGCAACGAGAAAGGATTCAGCCATTTACATCAGCTATCTTTAAAGACACTAACTAGACTAACAAATCTGAAAAACTGACTCTTAACTGTCTTCATAATAAGTTAAGAGTTGGATCTGCCCACTCACAGCAGACTCCACCCAGTGTTTCGTGTGTCTCTCCTCAAAAGAGCAGTCCAGCCAGCTACTGTTATCCTGCCTTTACCTTCCACACTCAGTGAAGGATTAATTTTAGATGTTCATTATTAGACACCAGGACAAAGAACCAAGGAGAATTGGAAGTTCTAATCAAATGGAAGCACCTTCCAAATTCGGACAATAGTTGGGAAGGGCCTCTTCAATCAGCAAGGAATTTCCAGATTTTCACCTTGAGGACAAGATCAAACTTCATGGAGGGGGTATTGATAGGTTTGGCATTGTCTATAATAGAAGGAAAAAAACATGACAGTTAGGGCAGTTATGTCATAGCTGTTACAGACTTTATAAAAACAGTCTGTTTAGGTGGGTGGGAGGAGGTTGTGTCTTTTGTATCTAGTTTGGAGGAAAGGTTGTGGAGAGTGAGGTCTCTCGAAATACCTTAGTTGTAATAGAATTCTTGTCTAATTTCCTACTTCATTGGTAAGGAAATAGACCGTGTGGGGATAAAGTGTATCTTTCTGCCTGGACCTATCACATTAATTATCACATTAATAGAATAATGNATTTATCCTATTTTATCATCATTATATTGTGTCAAGGGTTACCCTATTTATCATGATTATATTGTGTCTAGGATTACCCTATTTATCATGATTATACTGTGTCTAGGGTTACTCTATTTATCATGTACTTTTGTATCAATTTATTTTTATAAATAGAAGATTGTGAGGGATCAATTAAGCCCTCTAGAATTATTTTACAGTTTAATTCTCAAGTGGAATAATAAAGAAATTTGAAGATACACTTTTTTAAATACACTAATTTGACATGCCTTTATGACAGATAAAAATCTAGGGAGGGAGAACTACACCACCAAAAGTTATTCGTTGTTGTTGGAGTGTCCAAGACCTTATAAACCACACATTAGAATCCCATACTTTAAATTTGGAACTCAAGTCCCATCCCTTGCAACTGGATCCAAACAGCGATCTATGTCACAGGTTCAAATCCTAGAAACAAACTCTCAGACTGCAGTGGAAAGGCTGCACATATCTACTTTCCCTAAAACCCACTAAGTGAGAGTTTTGTTCCTCACGTAACCCTTTATTTTTTACTCTATTTTCATGTCAAACCAAATTGAAATGTGAATTAAAACACTGTAAGCAAAACTGTAACTAATCCATATCTTATTAGTATTTGTAGATCATTTGTGCAGATAAAAAACAATTACGTATGGCCTGTCGCACAATATTTCGAAAGTCAATCACGTAAACAGAGAATGGCTAATCCAATTACTTTGCATTGTTTCCACACAACTAAATTATGGCTATAACATCTAGACTATATCAGGGGTAACACTAATAACAGTATTTTAACATGTCCATAACATAATAACAATACCATCAATTGGAGGGCATTCAAGCTGTATTACTCTATAAACATGCACAGCAAGTTTAGAATTGAATTTAATAGGCAGATATTTATTTGAAGACATACATTTCCTCCTTACTGGAATGTTCACCCGATAATTTCAATTCTCCACTTTCACCCTACAAAATGTATATATATTATGATGTATTGGTCATGAGAAATCACAAATATCACTTAATCCGAATTAAAACAAATACAAACAGGCTTCAATGTGTGCACTTCAACACTTGATTTCGAATACTTCTCCAAAACCTATGGAAAATGAAGCTGAAGATTACAACAGTAGCTGAGGTCAACAATTATATACGGAAATTGATACGGCATTTCACCTTTAGAGAACTATCCCCAGTATCATTTTTGTTGAAAAGCAGCAAAGGAACCCTGCATCCATACTTGGAGTTGAGCATCTACCAAATCACAACAGAAAAATAGTAAGAACCAGACCAGTCAATGACAGCTGTATAGTATGTGCAAAATCTAAATAATTCATTAATAAAAAAGAGAATAATATAAGAAAATATGATTTTATCATAAACTCATACATTATGTATAAATGTCTCACCTCAATCTGGTTAATGATCATGTCCAGGAACGTCTGTCCATCACGAATATTAATTGCAGATCTACATGAGTCGAAACATTTTATAGGTGTAAATTAAATTAGTCATCAAGTATAAGGTTTAGCCTAATCCATGAATGGGGAGTACAAATGTAAGAAAGGAAAATAACTTTAAACACTTAATGCAAATAAATAGAAACACATGTACTTATGCATGCATACGTAACACAATATAAAGTAAAAAGTACTAAATTGTTTCATAATATTTTTATTACATGTAGAAGAGATGAAAAACGGGTAGAAAACAGCAACAACACATGTACTTATTTATGCATGCATACGTAAACAAGCACATAATATAGTTAAAAGTACTAAATTGTTTCATAATATTTTGATTACATGTAGAAGAGAAGAAAAGGGGGTAGAAAGCAACAACACAAACAGGAGGGAAAATACATATAGAACAAATATGGTGTAAAGAAGGGCGAAACCCTTCAAAACAAAAGATCCAATTCAGACTTGACAAAGAATTGTCTGCCCTCGGCTAGGAAATTAAGTATAAAAACATATTGCTCAAACGAAACCAGCCTTTTTATGTAAAGCACACATTAAATGTAGAAGGCTCCACCAAAACCAAATTAGATGTAGACTAAAGTGAGGTGTTGGGTGAGTGGCTTACTTGGGACCATCAAGATCCATATTTCTTCCTTGGGCACCATTGAACTTCAAAACAACAAACTTGTCCAAAAGCTTCTTAGTTTCCTCTGTATCTGCTTTGGATGTGAAAATTGCTTAGGTAAAACTTTGTAAAAGGCGATAGGAAGAGAAAACAGAAAGCAAATAAGTTTGATTTGCAACTACTATTCAGTTTACCTTCGGGTAAGGGAGCTAAACTAGTACAGGGAACTACGGTTATGTCGACCTTATCCAAATCGCTCTTGCTCTTGCTCTTGCTCTTGCCCTTGCGCAGAGCTTCTTCTCTTTAATTCATTGGAGAATCAATTAAGTAAATACAACGGGGAAAATGAAATGAGAAAGAGAATTAGGTAACGCATGATACCGAGAATCGGCCGCAGCAGCAGCAACCTTGCTCTTCTCATGAAGCAGTGTTTTGGTAATCAAATTACAGAACAGATAAACAAATTGAACAGAATCGTTGGCGGGAACAGGATAAGCAATGCGGTTGTAGACATCGAGGGGCATGGCGGAGTCGACCAATGCAACAACGGGAATTTGAAGCTTGAAAGCCTCGTTGATAACGGTAGACTTGCGGTCGGTGTCGACAATGACGATGCAATCGGGGGACTGGGTGGGGCCGAAGACGAGCTTCTTGTTGCGGGAGCGGAACTTCTTGGGGCTGTAGCTGTTGGTGAGGAAGCCGCCGGTGCGCCAGAGGGAGCTGGTGGAGGAGGAGTAGGAACCAACCTTCTTGGTCATGAGGTTGAAGATGTCATCGAAGAGAGGGTTGGTATTGATGAACATGAAGCGGGCGTTGTGGCGGGCGAGGGAGGCGATGAAGTTGAAGGCGCTGCGCATGCAAATGAGGGTTTTGTCGGAGTCGATAATGGCCATTTTGTTGCGGAAGCCATAGGTGTAGCCCTTGAAATGGTGAGCAGCAACTCGTCGACCCACCTGCGCATTCGTGCTCAGCAGCTTCTGTATCACTATCGAATGGATCGTCATGCTTTTACTCCTTCGATACTCTCCCCCACTCCACTAGGGTTTTTCGATCTCTTTCTTTCGTCTTACAAGTTAAAAAGTAATCTATTCTTAAATTCAAATCAATTAAATTTACATTCATGTGCAAGTTAGTGATTGATATTTGAGATTTGGACATTGGAGTGAAAAGTCTATTATCTCATTATATGAATAGTTACCGTGATTAAATACAGATAGTTACAAAATAAATAAATAAATAAATTTTACTTTATGAAATCGTAATTATATACAACTTTTTTGTATATTTACGTTATAATAGATATTTTTTTAAACTTTTTTCTTAATAAAATACCCTAAAATTTATATACTATTTAAATTTATTTTCTCTTAAAAAAATTACTATTACATAAAGGCAATACACCATTTGTTGACTTTTTGTTATGTCATCCTTTAATTGGACATTTTTACGTAAAAAACAAAGAAAACTAATTTATTTATTTAATAAAAAATAACGGAATAATTCATATTTTAATATAGTTATACAGTTATTTTTTAAAATAACTGTCACATAATTCTTTCTATTTTTCTTTCCCCCATCATGCTTAGCATAACATTATAAACTGTTCTCTCTTGGTTGGAAATATTGTTGTATTTTTTTTAAGTGTTCGATGACTTAAATTTGTTATCTAAGCATCCTTTTTCTTCTTGGAGTTATTACTTACTTATCCAATGGTGGGGTTTAGGTGGAGGCTTGTGGGGGTCCTTCAAAGCTTGTGTGCTGTCATGAAGCATTTTTTCTGGATCGATTGGGTGATGGCTGCCGGACGAGGGTTCTCTGCTGTTCACAATTTCAATGGCATAAATCTCATTATCGAAAACATTTTTACTCATTAAATATAAAATAAAAATACAAAGCAAGAATGTTTCACACTAGTTAAAACTGGAAGATCCTACAGTTTTTTTTGCAGTGCAGGTGATCCTAATCCGATGACTGAGTGCTCTTGGAAATGACAATGGCGCCATCTACTCACACAAATGTTCCAAAATGCTACACTACACTAAGTTATCAAAGAAAATAATATAAAGAAAAGTGCAATTTGTGTGCAACTTTACATAATAAGATAGTAATTGTTCAGTTATACATGCACAGTCAGCTGGTTCCGTCATCTTTGGGGGCAGAAGAAGTGTCGCCTGGAGCAGATGCCTTCTTCGGGAAAATTGAGCCAAGCTGGATTCCTGTATTACCACTCTCCTGAGAACTTCCTTGGGCAGGACGGCCATCAGCTTTTAGTTCTTTCCTCTTCTTCGCCTTTTGTGCCCAACCAACAATGTTGTGTTGCAAATGCTCATTAAATATTGCCCTCTTATAGTGAGTTCCCATCTACAGTGTGAAATTATGGAAGTCAATGCAAAGAGGACACTACTTAAATTCATAATTAATCAGCATTTTAGTTTGAAAAGCTACGCAAGCCTACCTGCGTCACTATTGCATAGAGTGGCAGGGTGCTGTAGCTACATAATACCTGAATAAATACCCTGTAATCCCAATATATAGAAGGAAATGAAAAAAGAAAAGATTCAGCTAAATAGTTTGATAGTCACAAAGAAAGAATTCATATTGCTCAAAAGAAAATTGTTAAATTGTTAACAGTTACCCAATAACGAGCCTTGGAATAATGTATCGAACTTGCCCCATTATACACGAGTCAAACCCATATGTAACCTGAGAAGTGAGCGCCAGGGGCTTCATTATATTCAACACAACTACAAATAATTACCCCCACAACCAACTTATTCTTCAAGAGAATTATTTGCTTACCCATATCCAGAAAAAAAATGCTATCTCAAAGGCATTTTGGAAAAGGATAAAGTGAATTAAGAAGAGG